ACATGATCCTGCTGTAGGTCTTACTGGTCTGTCTATACAAGATACATGAGGCAGTTTCACCCAGTTGTAGTGGCAGTGATGGTAGTGCCTGTGCTGTGGCACCCTGGTTGAGAACCCACTTCTATACACAAACAGGCTGGTACATACTCTTCCATCAACTAATAGCCACTATAATAGCACCTACTGCAAACAGCAGCTCCTTGATAACTAGCTTGTCCTTGGGATACCAGCATGATTTACATCAAGTATACAAAACCAGTATACATTGCACCAGTGTAAACGAGTCATAAGTATGAATATGGTAGACACTCTAAGAGAAGTATAAGGAAAGAAAAGAAAAACAACAGAAGAGGGGAAGAAGATCTTCATCTTGTCTTCTATCCTTCATGATCTATTTTCAGTGCTTTTAGAAACAATATACAATTGTACTTAGTACTAGTATACCACATATAAGACCTAAAGTTGTGCTTTTGAATTGTAGTTAGTTTTAGAAGTGTCAATTTGTATCCTTCATCCCTAGGTAAGATGCTTTTGTTAGTTGTTACCATATTAAACCTCCTCCTGCAAAAGCTTTCAATTCATGTTGCTACAAAAGGCAGATAAGTAGATTAACTCTCATTATACAAAGTGTTTCCTTCCCACACTCAAGGATTCTCAACCAAGGTTTGCTGTAAGATCCTTTGAAGGGTTGTGCGAGGTGTGAGGAGATAATCAGATAAGCACAGGCTTGGGCTGAGTGCCAGGCTCTTTCTTGGGCCCTCTGCAAAGAGTTAAGCACTATAAGTTATATATAGGATACTTCTCATTCAGACAAATAATTAAGTCTGAAAAGGCTGAGAACCACTTTAACTAAATAAAGTTAGCTGAAACTAACTTCTTATGGGAAATCAGCCTTTGGCAAGGTCATTCTTTCACACAGAGACAAGAATACTGAGTGTCGCACAGCAGGTTGTCAGCCAGTTGGATAACTCGTGCATTGCAGCTTTGAGCAAGTCAACAGAAGTTTATTTTGTTGGGCCTGTTCTTGCTCCCATTGAAGTGAAGAGCAAAAATATCAATGATTTTACAGGAAGCAGCAAAAGTTAGGGGTAAGTCATGTGTTTGGAAACATGAACCCCTGATTTATCATCCCGTTGTGAAATCCTGGCTCCACTGAAAGAGATTCTCATTGGTCCCAAATGGGACAGGAATGAATCCCCATGGGCCCAGTGCAACTCTTGCTGCAGTCAAGGAAAAGATTTCTTCAGGAAGATTCCTCATTTTCTTGGACCAGGTCTTTTGGGGAAGTAACTTCAGGCAAAATTTTCAAACAGAGCGTACAAAATTCAGCCCCTAGGTCCGTATTTTGAAGCCTGGCTTTAGGGATTCACATTTGAAGTGTTAGGCCAAAATATTCCTGCCTCATTTTCCTTATCTGTAAACAGAGTTCATGCTGCCTTAGCTACCTGCTGGGGTGTCATGGCAGTTAGGTATCATTTGTTCAATGATTTGAAAACATAAAGCATTTCTCAGTGCAGTATATTCTACATCTTGCTCTCCTCCACAAATCTTTGTGGTAAAAAGATAGCTAATAATATCTCATTTTGCAAGATTCATTTTGTTCCCAGTCCTACAAAGCTCTTTAAGTATGTCACTAAATTTAGACATGTGAACTTTTCCACTGAAGTTGTGCACTTACATTTAAGCATATATCCTTGCAGATATGAGCCCTTCTGAAATTACTTAGCCCAGACTAAACAAGACCATGTATCTTATGCAGGCAAGATCTTATATGCTTTTTATGGAGAACTAAATTATGATTTGATTCTGGGTGAAAAGGTAAGAAATAACTCTTTTAAAGTATTTGAAGACTGTGAGCATCAGAAAGGCAGAGGACTACCATATTTTCCTGCATACTACATGTCCTGGATTAGACCGCTTGGCGGCAATGTCGGGGGGCTATTCATGGTGGGGTAGCTCCTACATAATACCACCATGTTGCAACCTCCAGAGTAAGGCAAGTATAAGGCACCTCAAAACCCTGGCCCCCAGTACCCTGTGGGTACTCCTTGGTTGGAGAAAGGCTAAGGGACATCATCCTGCCCTTGCTGAGGCAGACTCCATTTCCCAGCAGCCCCTGCCTGGAGCATGCAGGCTGCAGATTGCGCCTTGGCTCTGGACCATACTATCACCACTACAAGATCCCAGCCTGGCCTGGGAGCAGCTCCCCACCCTGCCATGTGCCTTGCCAGTGCTGCTAGGGCCAGTCTCCACAGAAACCCTGGCCCTGCGCTATCACCGCACAGCTGTTGCTGGGGTCTCCATGGAAATTAGCCCCAGCCACGTGGGCAGGGGCTGCTGGGAAATGGAGTCCACTGCAGGTTGAATCCAGCCTGTGGGCCAGACTCTGCCCGCCTCTGCGCCCCTGGCCCTGCGCTATCACCGCACAGCTGTTGCTGGGGTCTCCATGGAAATTAGCCCCAGCCACGTGGGCAGGGGCTGCTGGGAAATGGAGTCCACTGCAGGTTGAATCCAGCCTGTGGGCCAGACTCTGCCCGCCTCTGCGCTAGGCAGTCAGCAGCAGCTCTAATCTGTTGCTCTCTGGCAGAAACTACAGCCATCGAGACACTGAACATCTGGACTCAGTCTGGCCTTTGGACTCTGTCCTGATGGTCTAAAGTGGGGATGGTAGGTCTAAGGCAGCCTCCATTTCATACTCTTGCCTAGGCGTATGAGCTGGAAGGTCTTGGTGTGATGGCTACATAGGCCTCTTGTCCATATACCATGATCCATAAGATCGACAGTTGCCAAAAAGAACATGCCCCTAAGCAAGACATGCACTTTGTTTTTGGGAAGGCAGAATGAAGAGAAAAAAAAAAGATTACTCCTGAGTTATGGCTGCATAGAGCAGAGATAGAGCTCACTCACTCTCCTGTTCCTGCTTAACTAAAAGCAGAAACCCTAACTGCTGCTGAAGTTTGGTCCCCATGGGTGAATCTATGATTTTGAAAAGAGCTAAAAAGTCTAAAAGGCTGTGAAACAGGAGAAGCTAGCAGACAGTAGCATTGCCAAAAGAAAGGTAAGCTTGATTAGTTGAATATTGAGACCAAGGAGAGATGATCATTAACACCTGAGGAGTGAGGAACATTGAACATTAAGTAAAATGACTCCCTTAGTTGCCTGAATGGAAATGTCACTGCTCACTCAGAAAAACCACAAGAGGTCAGAATGTTTTTGACACTTTGCATTCCTATTCAAAGTGTCTGAGTTTATCTTGTGAATCCTGTATAAGTGCTTATGTGCCTAACAGTGGTCATATTACGTTTCACCCTTAAAAGGATCTCACAGCACCCAGGTTGGGAATCATTGCTGTAGATAATGCATCCCAAATGTATGCATCAAGATAGTGTGTGTTTAAGTCCCTTAGACATAGCTTTGGCCTTTACACAAAAGACTACTTTTACTAAAATGTTTCCAGTGAACTGAAAATCGGCAGTGAAAACAGAATTTCTGTGGTGTATGTCTCCACTAACCAGGGAGAGGGCATTCAGTGCAGAAATAAGTTTCAATTAACCTTTTAACACTTCCTCTTCTGAATTCCCCTATTTCTTCATAGTTCATAGATCACACTTCAGGAAAAAAAGAAAAGGCCCACTTGCCGGTTACAGTCCATGGTGTGTGCGATATCAGGGAATAATGCATTCTGGGAAACCTTCAGGGAATTTCAAATGGGATGGAGGGAAAGGGAAGGTAAAATATTAATAAAGCATATTTAACTTGTGAATATTTCTCAAAGTCTTGTTATTATTGAGTGATAAGCATGGTAATCAGGATTTATCTTGGCATTTGATTTTAAACAAAAATTCCTTTCTTTAACAAAGCGATGATTCAATGCCTGCATTGGGAGGATCCTAGAACACATTGTATTTTTGTACTGTAATCTTTAAATGGCATTTAGATACCAGGGGGTTAAGTGCCTTAGTTAAAATAACAGACCAGGAAACAGCAAACCAGTGAGAATTGCTCCTGTTTGCTTAGCTATCTGTGTTCATAGAAAGGCTCTAAGTGATTTGGAATCACAGAGGCATGTGCAGTCCTGGCAGTGCATATAGTCACAAAACTTGTTCCGCTAGTCCTCCCTCCAACATGCCCTCATTTTGCTTGTTTTGCTCATTTGTTACAGCTCATCTGACACTCAACTGGATACATTGGCACTGATAGTTAGGGTCAACCCTGAGAGTTGCCCTTAACCAACCTGAGTCACATGAGCTTTCCCATCTCTATCATTCCTTGTAACCTACATCGCTGCCATCCATATTGAGCTTCCTGCAAAGACAAGAGGCGGGATGCAAAAGGGAAGAAAGTCAGGAACAGGAACTTTTCTATTAGTGGACTTGCTGTGTTGGAGTTAATAGTTCAAGGGTAAATTCCAAACATGCTGCAGAATAGGGATGGCTAGGCAACAAATAGCAGACGTTGCAGATCTACCCACTAATCCCTTGAAGTTTTGTAGTAATCACTGGCTTCAGTAAATATAGGCATATAATGAATGAGAAGAACTAATCAACAAATTTAATCCTGGAGCTGTAGGCAGGCATTCCCAGCTTCCTCATTCTCTTATTAGGGAGCCTCTCTAAATTGTAATTTCTGTCACTACAAATTCAGCATAATTTCTAAGATTGTGTTTAGGGGCTTTCAGTGAAGAAAGGTTGACCCTAAATATCAGGTAGGCACAATGCAAGTACTCTGGGACAAGGAAAGTGTTACTTTATGCTTTTGTAGAGTATGCAGCCCAATACGTGGCCAAATGTTGATTTGGGCCTTTGGGCATTATCACAATACAGAGGTACTCCAACGAATGCCTGTGCAAGTTATAGGGTGCAAAATGAATGTTTTCCTCTTGTGTTCTGAGGGAAATGAAGGTTAATTCAGTGTCAACGGCTGAAAACATATGAACAGTCAGTATCCAGTGCTGAAAACAATATAGTGTTGTCACCTGACTAGTTCTATTGCAACCCTAGAAATGGCAGTGCAGAAATGGCAGCAGTGTATTATGAACGCATTGATGTGGAAGGCCACCATTATGGACCTTCATCTGTTCAGAGGAAGGATGCATTAAAAGCAGTGGACAGAGGCTTAAGCAACATGATGAAGCTGATCAAGGTTAGTGACATGAGAAAAGAGCATACTTTTTGATATGTTTCATTTTTATTACTATTAATGCTCTTTTACAACAGTTTGCCACTTAATATGCATGTGTCAGTTCAAGCATTCAAAGGTACTAGTACCTTTCTCTTTGTAAAGTACTAGATAAGTGCTTTGTAATGAAAGACTCCTTTGTAATAACTGGTAGAAATAGGGTTTTTTCCTACTCAAACCATGCTTCTTAAAGGAGCAGCTGAATCAATCAGTCCAAAACATGGAGCTTGAAATACTTCTGCCATGGCAAAAAAAAAGTTGCTAAGAGATTTTTTTGAAAAAATTCATGTAATTTAACTAAGACTCAAAACAAATGTTATTTTATAAGTTTAAAAGAAAATGCTTTATAAGTATTATGGATAATGTTATGTATAGTAATACCTAGGTAGGGACCATGGCATTTGTATTTCTCAGTTTAAGAGGCTACTGATATTGCTGATATTCAAATCCCTAAATTTAGCTTCAGTAGACAGCATAAGAATCCTTACAGTGGTATCTGTTGGTTTGCATTGTAACTCCAGTTGATCCAAGACATTGTAAACTGGTTGGACCATTACTATTTTTAGGAATCAAATTGCCAACCTGAGGTATTAAAGGTTATTCATTTTTGTAAGGCCTATGGAATCGGATATAATTAATTTTTATGACAGTTTTCATGGTATTGCTCAGAGTTCTGTACCTTAAAACTATTTGAAAAAACTAATCTAAATGACTCTATAACAGGGAAATGAACAGATCAAGCAACTGGGTAAAAGCTAGTCCTGTTAATTTCTCGGCCATCCAGAAGCTTGAATTACTGATGTTACTTAAGCACAATGGTAAATACTTGTAAATATGGTAAATTCATTCTTACTTGCTGGTGAAGAAGTGAGGAAGTGAATTATAAAGTCACTGGATTAGAATTAGTTTTATATTAGGGGAATTCTACCAAGTGGAAATGGCAAGTACAGTTCCATGTGAAATCAGTGGCAAAACTCCTACAGTCTTCAATGGGATCAGAATTTGGTATACAGCACTTTATATGAGATGTTCATTGACAACAAAAAGTCCCTAGGAATTAATCACCTAGTCTGTATAATTAAGTACAGTTCCAGATCTTGATGAGCATTATGGACAGAGCTCCAAATTAGGGTTACCAGCAGTCCTTAGATTTATGGATGGTCTGTAAAAAGAAAAAAGCTAAAAATATTTTTTTAAAAGGATTTGCCCATAAAAACACTAAGAAAACATGAGCTTGATTACAGATTTGCCATTGGAATGAGGCTGAATGGAATAAGTGTTGATAGACAGACAAGCAGCCCTACAGGGAGCTCTGTCAGGGATTTGTAGCCCACAGGAGCCTTCATAGCCACCTCCCCTCCAGCCATGTGCTGCCAGTGTGTCCGCCTCTGCTGCCTATAAGGGCTGCTTGCCTCAAAACTAGGCAGGGCCACACAGCCCCAAGCAGTCTAAAGCACCAGAGTGGATGGAGGTGTGGGCAGTGCAGCTATTATGGAGCTGCAGGACCAGAAGGGGGAAATTACTAACTCAGGGTTACCGACACCTGCAGGGGGGGGTGGAGGAGAGGGGGGGTATATAATGGGGAGGGGGCAGTGATATGCCCATGCCCTGTCTCTGCCCCTCACTCCCAAGCCCCTGAACCCCCAATGCTGCTAGTGCCCCCCACTTCCGACCTGCAGCTCCCCAGCCCTGCCAATACCCGCCCCGCACTCCTGACCCACAGCTCCCTGCCCCCCAGCCCTGCTGGTGCTCCTCACTCCCAACCCCCAGCCCCCGATTCCCCCCAGCCCTGCTGTCCATGCAGTCCGTGCGCATGCACACACAAACGATCTGTGTCTCTTACCTGGGAGTTTGCTGGGGCCCACATGCAGACTATGTGACCCTCAACAGCCAATCACCTTGCCTGATGCTCCTAGCCCCAAGCAGCCAGTCTGGGAAAGCAGAGGCAAAGCAAAACCTTGGACATTTGCTTGCATTTCAAAAACCTGCCTGGACAGGAGGACAGGGTCCAAAGAAGAGGACATGTCTGGGAAAACCCGGATGTATGGTAACCATAACGCAAATTTCTCCCTTTGCATTGACACTGCATTGACAGTGTTGATGTTTTACTGTACGATCACAAATAGAAGGATTCTATTTGTGATCATACAGTATGGATCGTATAGAAGTATGGTTAAAATAATTCTTAGTTGCAATTCTTGGTTGTGTACATTTCTGTATTGTGCATTTGATGCAACCCTGTGTATGTTATGTAGGTTTCAGCTACTGTTATGTTCTACCATAGTAACTTGTATTCCTTCTTTGCATAACCTCAATTAGTATAAAAGTTCAGAGTTTTGGAGGCTAGTCATGCCTATTTTACTGTTTGTGGGCTTAGGTCTTACTGTTTGAGGGACACTTTTGACTGGCATAAGTAGCAGAGTCCCTGGATGGTAGCCCTGAATGAGTCTCCCTTCCCAATGGACTAGGCTAGGTGGTAGTGCTCCGATATGGTTTACTAGTGACTCAGACTGTTAATGTTCAGGTTTTGCTTAATATTTAAAGGTTAAGGTTTTCTCTAAGGTTGTGTGTTTATCCTCCCACACCCGACGTAATAAACTCATTTCAGTTGAATGTTGCACATGAGTTTATTCACTTTAGAATACTCAGTTAAAATGTATTTTCTCAGGTTCCTGGGTAGGGGCTTGAGCCAGATTTAGAAAGTGTTAAAAATTTGAACCTGACCCTTGTTGTTGTTGCCCAGGGCCTTGCAGAAGGGTGCCATTTACATTAAGTAAACCATATGTCGGTAAGAACGTGTCAGTAATAAAGTTTGGTTATCAGTACGAAGTCTGCAGATTGTAAGTAAAATTAAAATTGTGCCTTGGCAACCCTGTTCCAGATTCAGCTATAAGGTTGAATTAGGAGTTCAGTTTGGGTTTGGGGGTGCAGGGCTGGCACATTTTTATAAGGAACTTCTGAAAGCTCTCAAGACAAAATTATGCTTTTTTTTTTCAGAAGATCTGCTGTCTTGAGAAATTTTTGCCATGTTTAAGTGAATCTACACCAGAGGTGCTTACACAGGTTACATTTTTCATGTGATTGGGCCCTTGAAAGTGCTCTACAGCCGTGATGTAACACACATGGCATGGCTCCAGAGCACTTTTAAAATGGCCAATCGTGCAAAAAATGAACCCTCAAATGAGTTATTAAAAGAAGGCACTCTAAAGCAGAGTGTCAGGGAACTTGTGATCCCTCCAGGGTTAACTTTTTGTGCTTTGCGGGGCTGCCAGAAGGGTGGGGGGATGGGGAGGGAGCAGCACAAAGCTGCTTGCAGAGTTTGGCCTGACTGGAGCTGGGGGAAGGAATGAATTCCCCTTGCCTCACAGGCCTGGCCCAGCTCCCCCCAACCCCCAGCTGGGGTAGCTGGGGAGAGGCCTGTGAGGTGAGGGGTCTCGATTCCACCCCATATTCCCTCCAGCTGCAGCCAAGCCAAGCCCAGATAGCAGCTCCGTGCTGCTCCCTCCCCCTCCCTCCCTCCCTAATAGCCCCAGAGCTGGGAGGGAGGAGTGGGGCATGGATGGGTAGGGGGGTCATTCAGCAGCCCCCTTGGAAGCTGCTGGAGCACCCCCACCTGCTGGCCAGAGCCCGTGCAGGCAGGCTCAATCTTGCCTGACCTAATAGGTGAACATCTGTTGGGTTGCGGGAAGGGACCTCTAACTCATGGTGCTTTATGTAAAATGCCATGAGTTAGGGTGCCTATAAATGTTTAAGGGTGTCACTCTAGATTTGTAAAATGTGCCTCTACTGGCTTCAAATCTAAGTCCTTAAACTATAAAGGTATATTTGGATCAAAGGGTTCAAAATTTAACCTACTGCTCCAAAATTCAGGGCTTAAAGATTTGAATCCCTCTCTAAATTTAATAGGATATACTATATTAAAGGAAAATTGCCAGGGATTCACTTAAGTAGTATGCTGGAAGTGGGAAACATCACTTCTTATTCCATCCCTTTTCTTCCCACACATTTTTTTCTTTTGACAACTCAGTGTGAATAGTATGGGTAAGAGTTACCCACATGTAGTACACATGCAATGATTCAGTGGTTTCTTTGAGGAATGCCACAAGGGTTGTCATCCAGTTTTTCAAATGAAGATACATTTCAAAAACCCTTACGAGGAACCATTGACTTGTCATTTGCAGCAATTCAGTGGGAGGTTGGACTTGTTTTGGCAATTCTTCACTGCTATCTTTGAATCTCACAATAAAAAGACCAAGAGGAGACTTTTGACTGTTGTTGTAATTTACTGTAAAATATTCCAGGCCAAATTAACGCCTGATTTTACTGAAACCAGCAGACTTACAACAGGAATTAATTTAGCCACCTATCACAGAATTTTAAGCACACTATATTCTTTTCCAACTATAACTGCTGTCTTACTAACTCGACAGGACAAAGGCCTTCAGAGTGACCTGAATGTCATTCTTTTCTCGGATCATGGGATGACTGACATTTCCTGGGCGGACAAAGTGATCGAGTTGAAGAACTATATCAATATGGCTGATGTCATACAAATAAAAGATCGAGGCCCTGTTGTGAGCCTGTGGCCAGTTAAGGAGAAGCAGACTGAGGCAAGCAAATGAGTTACCTTTTTATTTTTTTTTGTTTCATATAAATTATCTCTGCTATAGTTTTACTACTACCCAGATTCTGCCCAAAGGCAGGGTAGATATGCACTTATATAATTACTAAATAACATAAATATACAGAGCACAAGGTTTAATGAACCCCTCAGCTCTATATGTACAGGTCCCATTGAAAGTAGCAGGTGTTGTAGATCATGGGAGAGTTTAGTCCTGTTTCATACCTTACTAAACATGGCATGTAAAGAGCAAAACATTTTGAATGAAATGCATATCAAACAACTCAAAAAACCCCTCTAAAAATGTGTATGCATTCTCATTATTCTGTACACATAGACAGACTCTCACACTAGCAACATGTTTGCTACAGACATAGAAGTAAACTCCTTGTTTTCTAAATTTTCAGTTTATTACTATAAAGCATTATCAACAATATCAAACCTGGGACTTAACATTAGAATTAATTAGATTAACATTAATTTGTGGATAGGCACCTAATAGAAGCAACCTGATTTTCAGAGATCATGGTACCCCCCAGGCTTCCTTGAATTCAGTTGGTCTGAAAATTGGTTCAGCTCTCAATCCATTTTCAGGTACTTCAAATATGAACTGAAATTTAGGATCAAAGGTGAGATTTTTAAAAATGAGTTTAAGAGGGTATTAATTCTTATTAATGTCAATAGAATTTGGATCCCTATGTTCCTTTTAAATTTCTGGGTTATTTTTGTAAAATTTCATTATAAGAACCTTGTAAGAATGAGCCATGTTTGAGTTAATAAATGATAAAATCCCAGGGATGTTAGTTTTAGAACAGAAGTTACTATAACACTGGAAGTCAAATTGTGCAAAATAAGTGCATTTCAGGACTGAACTTCATGGATGTGCCACATGTGTAACTGATAAGATGCCACATCTGTAGTTTTGCTAAACACGTACTTGAGAAACTTATAATCTATTATGAAAAAAAGATACCTAACCTTTGCTACTGCAAGATATTTTTTCCTGCAGCACATTTTTGTTAATTATAATTTCCTACCTCACTGTACTTTGTGGGGTATAGGATTATGGGAGAGTGCAACATATATAGTTTCCTGAACACAAAGAGCTACTTGAGGATACAGAGCAGGCTTTTATTGTGACTTGATGATCTGAGCATCTTCATAGTTTCATAGTTGGTAGGGTCGGAAGGGACCTGAGCAGATCATCAAGTCTGACCCCCTGCCATGGCAGGAAAAAGTACTGGGGTCAAACGACCCCAGCAAGGTGTTTGTCTAACCTCCTCTTAAAGACGCCCAGGGTAGGAGCCAGTACCACCTCGCTTGGAAGTTGGTTCCAGGTCCTAGCCACCCTGACTGAAGTAGCACCTCCTGATGTCTAGTCTGAATCTACCCTCTGCCAGCTTGTGACCGTTATTTCTAGTCACTCCTGATAGTGCTCGGGGGAACAGGGACTCCCCCAATACCTGCTGGTCCCCTCTGACTAGTTTGTAAATGGCCACTAGATCCCCCCTCAGACTTCTCTTGTGCAGGCTGAACAGGTTCAGGTCCCTTAGCCTCTCCTTGTAGGGCCTGCCCTGCTGCCCCCTGATCTTGCAGGTGGCCCTCCTCTGAACCCTCTCAATGCTGTCCACATCCCTCCTGAAGCGCGGCGCCCAGAACTGGATGCAGTATTCCAACTGCAGCCTGACTAGTGCCGCATAGAGGGGGAGGATCACCCACTTGGACCTGCTTGAGATGCATCTGTGGATGCATGACAAGGTGTGGTTGGCCTTCCTGACTGCATCCCCACACTGTCGGCCCACGTTCATTTTGGCATCAATAATGATTCCAAGATCCTTTTCTGCCTCTGCACTGACAAGAAGGGAGTTTCCCAGCCTGCAGGTATGCTGCTGGTTCTTCCTCCGCAGGTGCAGCACCTTGCACTTGTCAGTATTGAAACCCATTCTGTTCTCATCTGCCCACCCCTGTAACCTGTCTAGGTCCAATTGCAGCCTATTCCTCCCTTCTAGCATGCCTACATCTCCCCACATCTTAGTGTCGTCAGCAAATTTGAATAGGGTGCTTTTTACCCCCTTGTCCAAGTCACTGATGAAGATGTTGAACAGCGCGGGTCTGAGGACCGAGCCCTGGGGGACCCCACTGCCCACGTCCCTCCAGGTCGAAAATGACTCGTCCACCACCACTCTCTGGGTGCGGCCCTCCAGCCAGTTAGCGACCCATTTGACTGTGTAGGTGTCAATGCCACAGTCCCCTAGTTTTTTAATGAGAATGGGATGAGACACAGTGTTGAAGGCCTTCCTGAAGTCCAGAAAGGCTACGTCCACTGCTACCCCTGCGTCTAAGGATTTTGTGACCTGGTCATAGAAGGCCAACAGGTCGGTCTGACAGGACCTGCCTCTAATGAACCCATGTTGGGTGCCCCTAAGCATAACCTCCCCTGCTGGCCCCTCGTGGACATGCGCCAGGATAATTCTCTCAAAACGCTTACCCAGAACCGAGGTAAGACTAACTGGCCTGTAGTTTCCTAGGTCCTCCTTCCTCCCTTTTTTGAAAATGGGAACCACATTGGCCCTTTTCCAGTCCTCTGAAGTGAATGCCAAGGTCTAAAGCAATCTTAAAGAAATGTCAGCTCTCTCATCTAGCATTCATGCTGATGCAAGTTTTTTAAAAACTCAATGCCTGCTCTCCTTGCCTAACCGCCTTACTCAGAGGCTTCTGTTTGTGCTTGCATCTGCAAACCAGCAAACTTTAATGCTTGCGACTTACGTTGACATTGCTTAGACCCCTTGTTCATCAAAGCACTTAATCATAAGCCTAACTTCCTTTAAATAGCCGCATATCCTTGTATAGTGAAGGAATTTAGAACATTGGTTCATGTTCTTTTTCGCCTTGCAGGATACCACAAGTATAATGCTTATTTCACTTCCCACATATGACGGCATTTCCTAAAAGGGAAATTAAATGAATTTCCTCTGTATCAGATTGTCATTCTAACTCATGTTGTGAAATAGGGGTAGGATACTTTGTAAGTATCTATTGCATTTGGAAACAATGAGACTCTTTATGAATCAATGTACAACTTACTGTATGAGTAGCAGGATCCGTCCCAGTGAATTCAGTTAACAGATATTCGTGCATTCGTTCTCCACGGTGACTTTACCTGTTGAGCTTTACTGTGAAGTGTGTATTTTAGCAGAGGAAGTTGTGCTGCTTTAATGCTGCTGTAGTTAAAAAAAAAATGCAGTTGCACTATGTGTTGCACATTCAGTACATTGCTTTAATGTGACTTTTAAGGGCTGATATACACAAGGACTTTTGGAAACTTGTCACACAACAAAGCATCAATTCATCCATATTGGTTCTTAAGAGAACTTTATACCTTCAGAAATTGAGTAATTGTTCCCTACAGAATAGTATCTGCTGGTGTAATATTTTTGCACTGTTTTTCCAGAATGGCTTGAATCATCCTCCACATATATGATGAAATTACAGACCATAAAATAATATTGATACGCATACTGTTGTAGCATTGTACCTCTTCAAAACTCCATGCAAACACTGACTGGTTGAATCTCTGCTGATAGTTAGGCAACTTCAACCCCAACTGACAGATCAAGATGAGAAACACAGAGGTTAAAGAACTCATTCGAGGTCACACATAAGGTGGCAATGAGAGAGCCTTGAATAGAACAACCCTTTCCTGCTCCTAGATATAGTCCATGAGACCACTAAACATCTTAGAGAGTACTTACCATATTTACCCAAATACAAGATGCGTCTGAATTTAAGACAACCCCCAATAATTAGATTCTATACACAGAAAATGTATAAAATTTATTACAATTTTCCATGTATAGAATCTAATTATTGCAGGATCATCTTAAATTCATCCCCCCCACTGCTGCAGGTAGTGGGGGGAGAGGTGATGAGGGGGCCTGTAATGGGACAGGTGGTAGGGAAGACAGACAGTGGGGGAGGCAGTAAGGGGGCAGGCAGGGGAGGGAGCAGTAGGGGACAGGTAAAGGGGGCAAGTGGCAGGGGTCCAGTAGTGGGGAAGCAGTGGGGGAGGCAAGAAGCTTGACTCTCCCACCTGTCCCCCCTGCACTTCCCCCCCACAGCCTCAGGCCCCCGCTCTGCATTCCACCCCCCTTATACAGCTGCCCCCTGCAGCCTTGGGCTCCCCCCACCCTCCTCTCATCTCTCTCCCCCTCCAAAGTCTCTCCCTACTGTCTGCCTCTCTAGCTACCCCTTACCTTTGCTCCAGCAGCAGTTAGCTCTGTCCCTGATGCAGCCTGAAGGAACTGAGCATGGTTCCAGCCCAGTCCCGTAGCTGTGGTGTAGAGCTGACACTGATGCTACAGGGCCACACTGGAGCCATGCTCTGTGCTCCAGGATGCAGCAAAGACAGAGCCTGCTGGTGCAGAACATCAGTAAGGGGGAGGGGAGGGGGAGAGAGAAGCCATATGGGAGGAGGGAGAAAGGGGTCAGCAGAAGCTTAAGCCTGTGTTGGAGGAGTGGTGGGAGGTGCCGAGGAGGCAGGGAGCAGGCAGCAGGATTGAGACTGGAGATGGAGCCACAGCAACTGCTTGCCCCCCACCACCTCGTACTCAATTCTAATAAGACAAGGGGCTTTCCTTCTAGTTAAATTGGAAAAAAAACCCTCGTCTTTTCATCAAGTAAATACAGTATGTCCACTTCTTCACTTAGTGCCTCTGTAATTGTTTTCAGTGTAGTAGTTGTGTCTGTCTAGATCCATAATCAATCAATTCTATGCACGCGCACACACACTCACTCACCTCACTCACACGGTTCTGTCTGACCAGATTTTTAGAGATACCTCCCAAACCATACCTACATGTACATCATTTATACCTGCAAAGCACCCTGTTTGAACGCACTAATGAGTATGAAGATGATTATCCATTCTGCTAAAATAGAAGTTTATAAGCACTAAGTGGTTCATGTGCAGTTTCTGCAGTCCGTCTAACTTTTGCTTCCTTTACAGATATATAATAAATTGAAAACTGTGAAATACATGGATGTTTATAACAAAGAGGATATTCCAGAGAGATTCTACTACAAAAAAGGAAAATTTGTCTCTCCTCTAACCCTTGTGGCTGATAAAGGGTGGTTCATAGTAGAGGTAAAATGTAAATCAAAATTATGATCTAAAAGTGAGTTTAAAAATTAAAAAAATACAATATTGTAAGAAAAAGATGGGAAATATACAAGACTAAGTATAAGAGATAGATTAATGACTTGTTTATTTGGTGTAAATATCACTGTATCCTATTTAAATATTAAAAATGTGCATTTTAGTGAAGTTAATGTGAGCAGTACACTAGATCAAACTAAAGCAAAATTAAGATCAGTTTAAAGATTTTATACTTGCTCCCGTTACCATGTAATTAACTCTCCCTTGTATTCATCCAACTTTCCTCCCTTTCAACTTTCCTTTGGCCTGCTGCAAAGACTGCTTCTTGTTTCAAACTAGGGTTATCTTAACTTGTGACAGTCTTTCTTCTGCCTGGTTCTCAAACCACCGTTCTGACATCAGACTGTACCTTAAAAATACTGCCTCCTTTTTCACTTTACTCCCTCCCCAGGTATTTGCTATCATCTTGCCACCTATATGGTCTGCATTACTAATATTATTATCAACGATTCCTTGGCCTCTGGTATTTTCCCCAAATCTTATTAAAAGGGTAGGCTTTGGGGTTTTTTGTGGGGGGAGGAGGGAGTTGGAGGGGTAGGTCAATGTGGGGCTTGGAAATTACAAACTTTTAATTTATAAGGTTCCTATATCCAAAGATAACACTAAATACAATTTTTACTCATGACAGCACTTCACTTAAACATTTACTACAAATACTAAAGAAGACAAGCATTTTCATATTATAAATATTCTGACTCTATAATATATAGGTTTTGCTATGTGTAGTTATTTTGAAAATGTCATTAGTTTAAAGCACCAAATGTTAGTGGCTTGCATGTATAGAATATTTTATCTAGAAGGAACCCTAGACACTTCACAAACAGTGATCTTGATCTTCCATTTCTTGTCCTTCCAACTCCTACTTAATTCAGGCTTTAGAAGAAAAGACTATACTCCTGATTTTGGTGAACAGGGATTGGGTAAACCACCACTGAAATGTAACCATTTCTGGATCAGAATACAGTGGCTTTTCAAGAGCCCAAGATAGCAGGTACTGAATATCGGCACTTATGTCCCAGAAGTATTGGACCCTAACAAATGCATAGAACAGCAACACTATTCCACAATTTGAAGGCAGGAATTGAAGAATGCCTTATCCAATTGAAAGTACAGACTGCGACTAGGCAAACTATAATTAGATATTATAGAACTTGACCACTATATCAGTTTAACTTTATTTCCCCACAAAAAAACTTCATGAGATTTTAGGGATCTTAAAAATGTCAAGATTTTGGTTTTATAGCTGATAGCTTATTGCACATGCAGTCATTCACTTTTTAATTTTTAACTTGAAAGCACTCTTTTAAACGAAGTGGGATTTGTTATGCCAATAGATAAAAGGGAGATTTGTGCCAAACTTACTATAAAATATTACTATTATTTTGTACTTATATTTCATACAAGTATCTCAAAGTACAATGTAAACTTTAATTAAGCCCCAAAACACACATCTGCATTAGGAAAATATGCACAAACATTTTATAGATGAGTAAATTAAGGCCCAATATTAAGGGAATTGCCCATGGTCACACATCCAGTCTGTAACAGAGCTGGCAACAGAAACAAGAAGTCAAGCCTCCCATTGTAATCCCTAGACCACGTTGCTTCACAGATTAACACAGCTAAACAGAATGGCTTCCTTTATGCCTGTCATAGTTACTTACCTGCCATATACTAATCTAGTAGACTGACACTATCACATTGCTAATGTGTCACATCCAATGAGGTGTGGAGGGTTTTACATAAATGTACCTTTAGAAAAAGAAATTATTCTTGTATGTAGACTGCTGGGCTGCACATTTTCATTATAAAGATCTAAAAGCTACTGCTCAACCTCATCATCTAAAAAGGCATCTGAAACCATTTCCCCAAACTTATTTTTTGAAATTGTTATAACTAAAACCCTTTCTCTAGCACTGGTGCTTGCCATGGAGAACATTTTTACGAATCCTGAAAAAGATTTTTTTTAAATCATGGAAACTCTGACAAGCTCTTAATAACAGTGGTGCAAATATTTCTGCTGTAATAATTATCTCTGTCTGTCTGCCCATTCCTTCCTATTGTTTCTGATTTTCAAGAATGTCCTTTCATTAGTTCTGTCAGGTTTTCCTTAGCCTGGGTGCATTTTCATTATCAGAAAATGGGATGTGAAAATGGAAATTTCATGTCATATTTTTAAAATAGTAATTGAGTTTTCTGTTATTTTTTTCTGCTCAAATGGCTGAAGAAAGGCAGCTAAGCTCCTTCCTATTGTGCACACTTCATATTTTTTTTAACTTCTCTGTTGGTTGTAGCACTCTGTTAGCAACTAGGAAATGCCATTTCTTTGTAGTAGTTCACTACCTTGCATGATTTTGGGAGGCAAGGGGGAATGAGTCTGGAATTTTGTCATTTTCTTCACATTCTAGACTCTACCAGCCAAAACTCCCAATTATTTTTTGCTTCTTTTTTAGTTCTATTGGTTTGGGTCTTTATATTCTTCCTACAGTACTTTTACACTACTATATAGAATGGTCTTTCTGTTTACTGATTCTGTATCCTCAGTTTGCTTTTCAGTACCAAGTTTTTATGATTCAGTCTCTCAACCCTAAATGCTTTACTTACCAGCTTGTTTTATTTTACACACTTGTACTTCTGGACATTCCACAACTTAAATGATTGCAAAGTTAGAAACTTAAATGTGCAGGAAACATGCAAAAGTCAGGAACCAAAGGAATCACAGTGACCTAGGGCACTAGTGTTTCCTCTGGAGGTAACTATTTAATTATTTTAGACATGTGTCCTAGCCCCATTTGTGCACATAAGAAAATCACCACAATTCAATGCAATTCAATGCAACTAGGACTCTGGTCCCCAAAGAAGCCAGAACTGGGCTAGAAGGGGTGTTTGTTACAAGTCAAAAGTGTGTTGCCTTTTTAAGTGCCATGTTAGGAAAGTTGCACTTCATCTGCCTGCTCAACCCCTGCCTCAGTATAGTGCTGTCTGAATTTCATGAGCCCCAGATTCACTTGCAATTGGAAAAAAAAGTAACATGTTTTCTGGCCCAAATATTGGCAAATGTAATAGAAATTGCTGAGCTTTTGACTGCTCTTCACATCTGCAATAACGTATTATTCCCTTTGTACTTGGGCTGATGATTGAAGGGCATTTCATTTCTTGGATTTTACATTAATAGGGAAACAGCTGAGTCCACAACATCTGACAGTATTTCTGAAAGGTTTAACTTCAACTATGTCATGATAGCTCCAAAGAAACTTTTCAGATTAGGTAAAACTTGGCATGTCTTGAGTTGATGCTAACAAAAGCATTACAGCTTCTCTCGTGGTGTACAGTCCTTTGACAATTAGTTTCCTGGAACTGCATTAAACATAGTAGTGCACTACAGTAGAAGAGTAGAATGAGTCCATTTTCTCCTCTGTTTGCTTCGAGTGCTGTCAGTGAAATAGAGGGAGACAAGGAAAGAAATTTAATTTGTCAGCTAAAGTTGTTCAATTATCTAGTACATCTGCTGACTATTATACACAAAGAACCAGAATGGACACTAAAGAGGTTCCTGCAGTTAACAGTCTAAAGAGCTGAGCTTTATAATAATAATTATCATAGTTCTGATAGTTTCTATACATGGTTAATTCTTGAGTGGTTTTGGTGGGATAAAATCAGACAAATTTATGTGGGGGGGAGGAAAGGAAATGTAAAAGCATCTTAAATCAATGTCTCATTTATGAGAACTAGAGTTATAAGGTAAACACAATGGCTCGGGACAGACATTACACACAAACCGGTTTAAGTGATCAGAAACTGGTTTAAAACTTTAATAGATGTTCAGTGCACATAAACCAGTTTGAAAATGGCTGAAATCAGTTTGAGATAAACCTGATTGAATGTAGTATCAGACTTAACTGATTTGGCTCAAACTGGTTTATGTAAGGTCTATCCCAGACCCCTTGCTGGTTTAAGATAAACCAGACTCCCCCAGCATCCCAATATCCTCTCTAGGCTGGGCAGAGCTCTCTGCTCCAAAGTAGAGCTGGCCCCTCTCCTCTGCTCCCTGGCAGGAGCTCTGGCAGAGACTGCAGGTACAGCAGGGTCTGCCTGGCTTCTCCTTACCCTATCTCCCCGCTCTGCCTCGCTGCTGATGCAGGAATCCCCCACTCCCTCCCTCCCATCTCCCACAGCACAGACCCCAATCCCATGGACCCTAGGAATGTGGTATACCTGCTAATGCTGAGAGGTTTCTGTGTATATCTTCAATTTCACTGGGACAGGCAGACAGAACAGTGACTGCTTATGGCTTTTTGGAGCTAATCAACAAGTTAGCCAGTAAGCTGTTTAAGAGGAGCTTAAACTGATGGAGAGAGGCTATTGTTTTGCTTGACTTTACACTGTCTGCAGCAAACTGACAGAGGCAGGGAATGAGATTGAAAAGCTCCATATCATCAACAGATGCATGCACTACACACCCCTCTTTGCCTCAGAGTGCTAGCCCGAAGCTGGGGTCTGGCAACACACTCACCCCTTGAGCAGCCAGCAGGAAAAAGCCTGGGATGGTGCAGGCAGGGTGGGGGTTTACACCCCTCCCTAATCAGAACCTCCTGCTGGGGCCTGGTCACGCCCCCGCCCCCCTCAGCTCAGCACTGTGCAAGGGACTGAGGGCTGCTCTAGCGCCCCCCAGGCTTCTAGCTTGAGCCACTGCAGGTATGTGCCTGAATTTCCTCAGTCTGACTGCTACAGTTCTATGATGGCAGAACATAAAATCTGTAACAAAATAATGTAATAAACAGTATGTTGTTAATGATGTATTTCTTTCATTATTTGAAGGCTCGTTCTTATGGCAGATTTATGTTAATATTATTCTGTTTTCACTCCCCAGAGTAAAGAGAAACTTCCATATTGGGAGAATGGTACAGGGAGAAAGGAGGCCTGGCAGAATGGATGGCACGGATATGACAATGAGCTCATGGACATGAGGGGATTCTTCCTTGCATTTGGGCCAGGTAGGCCAGCTGGATTATCAAGCAATGAGAGAAAACTGTGCATGCATACACACATGCACGCCCATGCATGCACGCATGCACGCGCGCACACACACACACACACACCACCTACAACAGCTTCAGAGGAAAGGCAGGTTCAGAGTACTGCACTGGTTTGGATGATGAGCTAGTGCAGAAATTAATTTGAGAAACCAAGCCCTTTTGTCCACAGCCCCTTTTAGTTTCCAAGCGTGACTTGAAATCTGGTGAGAGAAAATCATGATTATATTTCTCTGTGGTCAGTCAGACATCATGCACAGCCAGCTGGTATACATGCCACCAAGATAATATTGGCATTGAGTATCCCTTTCTGTTAACACTCTCCAAGGCCAGCACATAGGCACATGAGTTTCATCACTAGGTCTTGCACTGTTTGAGAGTTCTATTTGCAGAAATCATTCAGTACCAGTGCACACTTTCTGAATTTTTCCATGCCCCAAAAATATACATTGTTTTATTCATGCTTCCATGACAGACATACCTCCATGGACTTCCCAGCCACCTGTAACTATCTGGGACCTAATGGAGTCTCAGAAACTGAACTCCTTGTGTATTTCTGTTCCTTCTATAATTAAACAATTGCAGTGTGCACAAGATTTCATCTTTAGACCTAAACACACTTGCTAGATTTGCAATATTATAGATTTCCCTTTATAGATGAGAAAACTAGTAAAAAAAAATCCCTCAAAATGATTTGCCAAGTGTATCAGCAAGTTTCCTGGGTTCCATCTACTGGATATTAGGACTGTGCGAAGCTTTGGTTGCTGATTAGATTTGGTGGAGATTTGGCCCAATTCGTTGGCCAAATCCAAATCAAATCAGGAGACCCTTTAATCTCTCCGAATTGAATCGGAACCCTCCGAATTGATTTGGAGAGATTCAATGATTCGGACATAGGCGCAGCTTTACATGTTTTTTCTACAAACCTCAAGGTATCAGGTGGCTCGTGTGAATGCTGAGATGGTGGGGTGGATGGAGTGTTCCACAGGAGCACTGGGGGGTGGTCCCCAGTGTGCTCGGCAGCAGACCCAGAAGTGGACCAGAACTACTTCTGGTCCACTTTTGCGTCCGCTGCAGAGCATGTAGGGGACCCTTCCCCTACCCCCCGACTCAGTGACTGGTGCCTCCTGGGTCTGGGGTGGCACCTGGAGTCCCCCCATGGCCAATTGCTGAACCAGGGGGGCACAGAGGGGGTCCCCCATGCACTCGGCAGTGGACCTGAAGTACTGAGCATGCAGGGGTCCCCCAGCGCTCCTGTGGGACGCTCCATCCGCCCCACCATCACAGCATTCACGAGCCATGCCTGGTACCTCAAGGTATGCAGAAAAAACATTTAAAGCTTTGTCTATGACTGAATCACTGATTCTCTGAATCAGCACCAAATCTTCAGATTCAGATCCGGCCAAATTGAATCAGGACAGCGATCCAAATCAGTGAATCAAATCACTGTCCCCTGATTCAGGTCGAATCCGAATCAAATATGGCCCATTTCGCACACAGGTGAGAACAGCACTGGATACTGCTGTTCTCACCTAACCTGGCTTGAGTTTTTAATGCTATTCAAAAGGGATGCATTCTTTTTTATTCTTGGCAAAGGGCTCATCAAGACAGAACAGGTCCTTTGACAGGGTTCATGCAATCACAGTTCACATTCCCATGAAGATGTAGAGATTATTTGATCCTCATTTTGTCAGACCCTTTCAATACTAAATAGTACACATCTTTTGCAAGTGAGAAATAAAGACAGAACCTGGGATGCAGTCATTTTAGAACAAAAGTGTGCTGAAAAGCTGTAAAGCACTGATTTTCAGCTATGGATCTGGTGGCACCCCTGAGTGCCACCAGATCCTTTGAACGGTGCCACAAGGTGTTAGGATATAAGCAGATAAGCAAAGGATCATGCTTGTCCCTGCCTGACTAATCCCCCATCTCCACTGCCTGGCCCTTCTTCAAGGAGGTAAGCACTGTAGCATATGAATTGGTTTTTGAATTTAGGTGCCAGTCAATTCACAAAAGTTATGAAGGGGTGCCTCAAATCCAAAAAGTTTGAGAACCACTGAATTAGAAATATCCTGAAATACCCAAACATGTAACAATGTAAATACTTCCTGTGTTTGACAACTTCCTTCTTTTTTATTTACTAAATCATTTAACAAATAAAGCCCTCAAGATTTTCTATGAGCATCTAAAAGGGCTAATGGGCTTGTCTATGTTAACGCCTTGCTCAGCAATACTCCTACAATTCAAAGTCTGAAGGCAAAAGAGATGATATAATGTTAAGTCCTCCCTGATATCCAGAAACTAAAACATCTCTATGCATGTCTTTCTTTCAGATTTCAAATCTAACTACAGAGCTCCTCCAATCAGATCAGTCGATGTTTACAACATCATGTGCAATCTTGCAGGAATAAAGGCACTGCCAAACAATGGATCCTGGTCCAGAGTGGAGTGTATGTTAAAAAATAATGCCAATTTGGCACAGTTATTCCACTGGAGCAGCTGTGTACTGGCATTGTTTCTATTTTTACTGTTTGCATAGCATATCTTGTTTCTCTGCCCCCAAAACAATGTTGGTCAGTGTAATTAGTAACTTGCTTTTTTTTTTTAATTCTTCATTTGAATAATAGCTTCATTAACAGAATATTGTCTGGGTAAATTGCACATATTGGCCCAAAGTCATACCTCAAGTTACCCCTAGGATAAATCTCCATCATCCTCCTATCACAATAGTTATAATAATGTGTGGCCAAGATTTGCTTTCCTTTATGCTGTGGTAAATACAGACAAGATTCAGGAGTTATTATTGCTCATTTGGATTTGCCCCATTACCAAGGAGCGCAGAATCTAGGCCCCTCTATTTTTAAATCTCCTGGGTTTTGTTCAGCTGGCTTGGTTTGATATTTCTGGGGAGAACTCACCTTCATAACTAGGGAAATGCTTTCACTGCTGTATTGTTTAGGGGCTCAGGCCTGGTTTTCACAATTTTACCTTTTGTTTAACTCTGGATTATATATCTCCAATGGAGCTATTGTCTTCCTTTGCAAAACCAAGATACCTGTGGTGAACATGGCCCCCTTCCCAAAACAGGAAAGAAGTAGCTGTTCTCTACTAAACTACAATATGTACATCTCCTAACAGCTCTATTCTAGATGGGGTACATGGGAGGATGTAGGAGCCATGAATATAGCATCCTTCTTTTCCTAGATTTTCTCTCTCCATGTGCCTCAGGGTTTCAGTAGACCAGTCAACCAAATTTTGCTCCCTTTCAAATCACAAGAGTTTTTCTATTGATGTCAATAATATTAAGACCAAACAGGGAACAAGAGCTGAACAAAGTCAATCCTGAACTCAGGTCTCCCCATGTGATAATCTACTAGTGGCAGCATAACTAGGAGTGGGTGAGAGGGGCAACAACCCCAGGTGCAGAGCTCATGGAGGTGCAAGAATGGCAATCGCTATGCTGCCAGCCCAGCTGCCACCCAGAATGCAAAACTTCCTAGTTATGCCCAAAAGAATAATTAGCAGGGTTTGTGCACTGCTGCTGTTGCCATGGCATGGACTCCCTGGGGGTTGCTGCCACTAAACTGGTGCCTGGGACTGATGCCCTGCTCACCCTCCCCATGTTATGCTACTGGTTACACTTCTGCTTACTAGAATGGCCCACTGATGATTTTAAATTAAGCCCATGAGAACATATAAAAAGAGCAGAGCGGGGAGAATTTTTTCAGTGAACAATAAATACATTGAAAAAAATGCAGTTTCCAGATTACCAAAATACTCCTGAAACCTAGAAAAATCCAGCAAATAATTTTGGCTGGAAATCATTTTGGAAGAGTTGAAACATTTCATTTGGACTTTTCTCAAAATGAAATACATCACCCTTCTGTTTTTAGGCAACTTCATTTTTTTTTAAATTGACAGAAATTAAAGGAAACCACTAAAGAACTGCAAAGCAAGACAAAAATCAGAAAAAAAAAATGTCTTCTCAGACAAAATATTTCTGAGAGCCCAAAACAAAATTTTATTTCAGTCACATTTGGTCCATCATTGAACCAAAAAAACCCCAAGCCATTAGTCATGAAGCTCTAAAAGAGGTATTTTACAATTCTAATTTGCCACAGCATCCATCCCTCACTTTTCCTCAAAATCTAACCATTTATTTAAAAATAAATAAATAATGGTTTTAGTCCTTCTGGTTGTGAAAAAGGTCCTGAAAATGTGAATCACCTGTAAACTGATGCTGCAGCTGAGTCTGCTGGCAGCTTTAGACACACTCCCTGAGATGTACAAGTAGTCCTCTTTATCTCAGTTGGACACTGAAATATGAAAGACATTAATTTAAATGTAACCATTGTTAACTATTTAATTGCTGATTGTTTTAGCAGAAAATATCCCAGCTATACACATTATCATGTAGCCCCCACAACTCTCCAAAACGGTTCCATTTCCAAACCTTCAGGCTTCCCTGTACCAAGTTTTACAGTGCAGATACAGACTGCCAATAGAGAAACCTGGAGCATATAGAAAATGGAAAGCATAGGAACAATGGAAAACACATGCATTTAATATCAGAATAAATAACACATGATTCTTCAAACTCTTATGTTCACGTTTAATTAACTCAACCTCACATCTGCATTTAAATAACATTTAATTCCCAGTCTGCTGCAGAAACAAGAGCCTTTCGTCTGAATTTAGACTCAACTTACTGTGGACTATGGCAGGATATGCCTACGGATCTACAGGATAAGAACTCAATCTAACTTGCCAGAATTTTACTGGATTTCTTTCTGTCTCAATATGTGAAATGATTTCAATGGTTAATAGATCTAACGAAGTGTCAGTGCCAGAAAAATGTCTGAAGTCTTATGTTGTGCTTATGTAAAATTGTTAGGGAGGGAAGACCATCCTAACCAATAGAACGCACACAAATGAAAGAGCAAAGATGGACAGAAACACAGCAATTCATGTGCATAGGTGGAAAAAAAAAGATCCCTCATCTCACCACATAAGGTCTTCTCCGTCTATCAAAATATGTTAGTGACAAGCACAGTAAAGCAGCTTGGAACACAGGTGTGTCTCCAAACATTAACTGATGAAGCAGTGGAAGATAACATCACTCCTTCAGGTTATAGAACAGACTCACAGGGTTGGGAGAAACTTCAAAGGTCATCTAGTGCACCCCTCTGCACAGATGCAGGATGCATTATTCCTAAATCATCCAAGCCCTACACAGCTTGTTTCACGGTCCTACTATCCTCACAGTTAAGTTAGTCCAATATGTCAACTGAACTTGTGAGGATTTTTAGCACCTACTGATTTTTAAATAATAGCAAAAGGGGAACTATGGGGGTTTTTTTTAAGTGTTTGTTATTTAAGCAGAATAGTATGCCATGCACGCAGCTGTTTTCTGCACCAGTCACACAAACTTGGTGGACTATCAGCCCTTGTCCCAATAATGAGATGAGAGAGAGCCTATAGGAGACAGCCAAGTCCAACATTTAAACCCATCTCTCAGACTTCAAGGCTAGGGACCAAAAAATATTCCAAATGAAAATGTAACGAATTTATCAGCCCAGGGATCTTAATTGCAAAGTTGTACTGGTCATGTTCATAGACTCTGGGAGGGAACATACAGGAAAATCCAACAGTAGACCTGATTATACAACCCAAATATTGATTTCAGCACATATAGACCTGAAAATTCAGCACTAGTTAACAGAACACAGCAAAATATACTCCCTAAAACAATAGCTATTATATTTAAATTCAAAAGATTAATTTCACTTTGTTGTTAAACTACTTTGTTGCTATATTCCTTGATGCTAAATGCCAGGAATATTCCTGCATTTACAAATGGTAGTGATAAGCAATGTACACGGTCACATCATTCTATTTTTTCTAAAGTTTCCACTTAAAAATGAACACATCTGGAAGAAAGGCACATAGAGCTTGAACCTGTAAATTGCTGAGAACCCTTTATGCCCAATGACAATGATGTGAGTGCCAGGTATTCAGCAGAACCTCAGAGAAGGTGCTCGAACACTGATCAGTTGAATTTTTAGTGAAGAATTTGCAATAGATAAAAGTTTTTTGGAAAAATCAGGTTTCGTCCTGAAAGAAATAAGCCCCTACAACTTAATAGTCCCATGGATCCAGCATAAAGCACGTTCTAGTGAAGCTTGGTACAGTGAGTTTAAGGGTAAATTATTACAACATAAAAAAAAAAATCAAATTAAACTTGACAACAGGCTTCTGTAACAGCCGTAAAGATTTATGTAATGTGTTTTTAAAGCTCAAGTGAACCATCAAATCAATTGAAAAAAAATTAGAAAATCAGTCTTTGTTATCAAGCTGTTGAAAATAAAAGGCAATTTAGTGCTTTCTAAGCATTTGCAGTGGCTGTAAAACAAGCAGCTATTGTTCAAAGTTACCGTTGCTCTTTAATGGACCAGGCTCAATGGATTCATTGAGTGCATTTTTTTTAAAGTGAGAAAATTATCCACATCTAAGATAACTAAATGACTAAATTACAAAGTTTTGTTTGAAAACCAACAGAATGCATAAAATGCATGCTAATCCTTCCACATTAAAAGCTTCATGGAGAAAATTCTGATTTCATTTTTAAATGCATATCAGGAATAACTTTATTAAGTCAGTTGAGTTTTTCTAAATTGAGATCAGTGCAAATGAGATGAGCACTTAACTATCATTGCTTGTGTATAAATGGGTAATAAATATATTCAACTTGCTGTATCATTTGTGCAAATATTGCAGGGTTCATTTTCATAATATACTAACAGTTTGATGGGGCTCAGGGCAAACACTGTAAGCCTGAACATGCACCCCAAAATATACTTGATCTACAAAAGGGAAATTGTATGCTAGATTTACATGAAGCTCAGCAACTTCAGGAGAAAAGAGTTTAATTATATTTTAGGAATGTGTCTTTCTTGCTCAATATTTTGTACTTCTGTATTGATTAATGTTCTGGTTCAAAAACCAGTGTTTTAATTATAAGCATGCTTACCTGTACAGCAAGCAACTTAGGTGAATGTATTTTAAAAACCATGTGTCTGAATGACGCGTTTGAAGAATGACTGCTTGTGAATGACTGAATAAGTCTGAGAATGCTGCTTGCTTTCTGTAAGAAAAATATACATTTTTGTAAATACTGATGATTTCCAAAAAAACCAGAATATCCTGCCTTTCCTATTTGATTGTTATATCAAAGTGTTGTCATATTGGTCCAATTTTCACTTCCTAGGATGCTGGAGCTTCTGCAGTATAAACAGTGTTTGAAGCTTATACTGATTGATCATCAGTAGGATGAATGATAACATTGTTTAGATAACTGGCAAAATCCTCAGCATGTACATTAGAGACCCTAAAGAAACTGTATTAGTTAATATGGCTTGTAAATCAGATAATTATTCCAGAGACATTACAATAAAGTTAATCTTTTGAATCTGTTTTTCTTCTGACTACATGCACTATCCATAGCTGCAAGATCCATTTTGTGCTACTGTATCACCTGTAGTCTCCATGGTTTTATTTGTACACACTCCTTATATGCTCTTTGGGACTTTTTCTTCTCTGTTTGTAGAGCACGTAGTACAGTGAGGGCATGAATAGGTTCCTCAGTAGTACTACAATGCCAATAATAATGCAGACAGGTAATTATGTTCTGCTATACTGGGAGCAGTCCTGTGGAAAGCTGAGAACTCATACAAAATAATTCTCTTAGCCCAGATGAAAATGTACAAAGCCTTTAATTGTGCATCAAAGGTTTGAATCCAGCATCACATCACAGACCAGCCATTGTACTGCTCTATCTGAAGGTACTTGTGAGTCCATTACTGGCATGCATCCCACACAAGTCACCTCTGTATTTAGCACTTGCTCTGCCTAATTGCTGGTCTCTAGTAGTGTAACTCCAAGTGGGCAAGAGGGGTACTCACCCTGGGCACCAAGTGAGAAGGGGTGCAGAATTGCCTCTCCTGACCATATTGCCATGCCTGCATCCTGACCGTATTGCCATGCCAGGGACTTTGAAACAGTTCCCAGCTGCTTTTGCTTTAAGAGCAATGGAGCTGAAGCAACCACAGCACATACGGCAGCAGCTCAGCCAGGACTGTTTAGAAGTTCCTGCTGCCTCCCCTCCCATTCTTGACTCTCAGACCTGTGCCCTCCGGCCCCTGCCCTCAGAATTCACATGCCTGGCCCCTTCCCTCCACACTTTCCTATAGGGCTTCATGAACACTAAGGGCCAGATACTTGTGCTTAGATACCTACTGGGTATCTAAACACAATCCTATTCTGTCCTTCTCATGGCCCTAAAAACTTGGAGCCAAATGGCTAAGAGGAAGGTGCTTTAGAAAACAGACATGCTGACAGGTTTTCAGGGACTTAAGAAGAAGCCTAAATGTATAAGCAAATTTTAAAAGCCCACAGACTCCCCCAAAGTTTTTAACAGGAAATTGAAGGCAAGAAGTGTGATGCTAGTGCTCAGAACTCATGGTAGAGGTGATATCGTTTATTAGGCCAACTAGAAGTTTGCAAAAAGTCTTTATTTGCACGCTTTTGGACACAGGCACCCTTCTTCAGGCATAGGAGAAAAGATTGTAAAAGTTCTCCTACGCAGAAATGAAAGTTCACATTTCATAGATTCATAGATCTTAGGGTCGGAAGGGACCTCAATAGATCATCGAGTCCGACCCCCTGCATAGG